AAAAAAGATTATTAATTAAAATCCACCATACTTTCGTATTATAAATAAATATTGCTATAATCATTTGAGAAATTGTCTCTTTCCTTCACAGATAAATAAATCAATGCAATATAATTAATCAATTCAAGTTTAGGTCAATTCATGGCTCTCGCTCTCATTATGAGAGCTGAGATCTAAGTTTCGGTACGTGCATACTAAAAAATTCATCAAGTGAGGTTAAAAAGCAAATATATATATTTATATTTTTTTATTTTTTTTTCTTTTGTTGACTTTCTCAAAATTATATCGTCTTTCTTTTTTCAAGCACTTGATATCTATATTATATATATATATATATATTATCTTTTTCAATAATTTATTACTTCTTATTTGTTAATCTATGAAGATAATATATATATAAAGAGATTAAAAGATTATCTTTTAAAATATATAAATATATGAATATAAAATTTTTATACAAAATCTTTAATTAATAACAGTATCATTATTAAAAAGAAGTACAACTAGCAATAAGAAAATGATAAATATTTTGTATTATAATAAATGAAGTTGTAAATTTCACAAATGATATTGGAGAGCTAATTAACGCATATCCATTAAGATATATTTAAAAAATAATAAATTATTTAATTATTAAGTAAGCATATAACAATTATTTAATCCCGAGTTTAAAAACTCAACCATTGACATAGAGAATAAAAATTCAAGAAAAATCTTCAATATAAAGATATCTTTGTACATTTATCATGAAAAGTCTTAATGTTTTAAAAATTATCATTAATATATTAAACACATTTCCTCAATTAATGAATGTAATCAATAAGCTATCTTTTATTGATTTAAGTAACAAAATTTTTACTATTTTCATTATTTAAAAGGTTTTTTGTATATTGCCATTAAAGCCTTGGCTAGTAGTAAAGAGGAAATCTTAAAATCTTGAAATTCTAGGTTTATCTGGTTTAAGTCTTACCATACATGTATAGGTTGGTCCAGCTTTATATTAGATTTATTTAATTATATGTTGCTTTGTTGTTTGGTTAACTTGTCTGTTTAATATAATTCATTGGTTACTTATGTATAATACTTGAATAAAATTATAATTTTTCTTGCACTAATAATTTCATAATATATCTTAATACTGGCAGATGCAATTGGTAAATCAAAACTAGTTTTTGTATTAAAAAGCACTAGGGCATAAATTAAATAATACTAATATTTTTTTTCTTAACTACTCTTTTTTTTTTATTTTTTTCACAAATTATAGATTGATCCTAAATTACTTTTATTATATTATATATTGATTTTTAAATTTTCATTTCAATAAAATCAATTTATCTTAAATTTTATTTTTACTGAGATCAGTTTTATGATTTATCTTGTATCATTGTATAATATATTATAAAGAAATTCTAAATTTTAGTGGGGTCAAACGACGTGGGATATAATAATACTCCTGTATGGCAACTTTTTGGAATTTTTCATGCAAGTTGTTGACAGAGTAGCTACAAACAAAAACGGGTCATACTTCTGATGACCTAACAGTAAACTTAATTTACGTGCTGACAATTAGAAGTTCCACCACGCATATATATTAGTGGAACGAGATGGTTAATTAACTAGATTACAAATTAATTAAGAAGTGATAGTTTACTAATATATATATATATATATATATATGTATATGTAAAATTGGATTGCTGATGCCATGCCTGCAACAGTTCACCTTTCCCCAGGATTATTATGTAATTGAACCATGGAGCTCGATCCCATTCCTTATCATTTCTTCGCCAATAAAGAAACAGCAAAAAATTACCCTGTTGGATTGTTAGTTGTTACTCCTTTCATAAGGCCTGAAAAGACTGATAAAATATGTTAGGCATAGTAGAAATGGGAAGTTGATTTGGGTTTTAAAGCTTTTTCAAGATAAAAAAAAAAGGGTAATGGGCTGTCTTTTTTTTTATCATGGATGGCAACTTTAGCATAATTATAAATGCAAAATATATACATATAACACCCTTGGACTAAAATGTTTTGACTTAATCAATTTATTAAATATACCATTTTTAATTAAAAAAATTATCTCGATAGAGTATTTAATTCTCACTTATCGAAGAATTATTGTATTTATGGAATTTAAAAATTTTACGGATGATAGATAAAATAATAATAATAAAAAAATAATTGATATGATAAAGACACAATTCACACGTTCACATAATAATATTTTTCAATGTTTTCCTTCAATTAATTACATGAATGTCTGTCTGTCTTTCACACAACCAACTTGTGCGAATTGTTTATTTACATAAATGTTTTCGCTCGAGATCTAATTTTATTTTTTTAATAACAGGTAGATTTTGCGAAAAACAATGGCAAGTTGAGCTTTAATCGATATTGGTGCATTAAATATTTTCATATAAGAGTTATCAAGGATTTTGATCCTTTTTGTGATATACATGATTTTTTACTTTTGAGGTAATATTAATTTATTAATTTTGAAATTAAGCTCAATGTAAAAACATGGTGAAAAGCTATTAGAAAAGGATGTTGCTAATAAAGTTGAGAATAGAAGGAACTGCACGTAATTTCTTAATTCTACAATGGAGTCCGCCATTAATGACCACAAATTCACTCATTTACACATTTTAATCCAAAAATAATAGAAGTGGGTCAATGCTGATCAGCTAGTCGTAAAAAATTTGTAAATAATGGAGTCTCTGACTAATAATATTGAGTTCTGACTGATAAGTTTTTTTTTTTTTTTTTCTAAATCAATTTCACTTGAAGGGTTAAAGAAAAAATCGATGAAATTGAGTAATATTATTATTTAAACAAATGAAGAACACGTGAAAAAAAAAAACCACATGGGTTTAGTCCAGTTAGCAAAAAGAAGTTTTCTCTTTTTAGCAATCAGGAATTTGATTTTTGTAAGGAGCATTTCAAAAATAAAATATTAAATACATACTCAAAAAAAGAATTAAGTCAAAGTAAAACTTGAAGATATTCGTGTTCATATTAAAAAAATATATATGTAAAAAAATTATGAACCCTCAATCATTAAGTCATGAATCTACCCCACTCTGTTCCTATCTCCACTATTTTTCTGTCTATAAATTGGGCATCAAAGCTGAGTAGCAGGCAACCCGAAAATCAATCACAACCGTAAAGTATTGTCGTGCTGTGTAGATCATGGAAGCCACGGCAGGCAAAAGGGGCTTCTGTAGCAATTATTTGCTATTGAACCCTAAGCAAGCCTCTTTCTTTGATATTTTTTGCATCTTGTTTTCTAGTAATTTAAAGAAGAGAAAATTTATCGATAGCTCTTATGAAAAAGTTGAAAATTTCTGGTATAGATTTTGTCTTTTCCTCTCCGCAATGGCACAAAAATTTCTGCAAACGATATCGACGCCAATGGCAGCAGTTGGGACAGCGTTAGAGGACATGCTCAACCTTCTGCAAAATAATGGTGGCTTGCTAGGTCTCATAAAAAATATCATGCTAGGTATATTTACGTCTAAATCTTTGTTATTACTATTTTCACTTTGACACTCACATATAGATTAACTGATATTTGATGACCCATTTTGGTATCTTAGGGCAAAGTATTAACCAATATTGGCTTCCTGGTTCCAACTTGGAAGACGTTGCAGGCGTTTATACACAATGTTTTTTTTTTTTTTCTAATTTTCTTTCTTGCATATTTTTTATCATTTCATTTCCCTTCTATTCTCACCATTTACATATCTCTTCCAAGAAGAAAGCTCGTTAAAATTTGCTAGTATTAAAAATGAAATAATACTTAAATAAGTTCTCGAACTTTATTAAATGAAAAATAAGCTCTTGATCTTATAAGAAATTAAGATTATAATTTTTTTTTATTATGAAGAGAACTTTGACGTTATGGAATATTGAACTTTATTTATCCATTAAAACCTTCTTGGTTGACTGATATAATTTGTAAAGAATACCTATAAGAATTTATTTGAATGAATTGGATGACATACTTAAAACGGATCTATTATAATAAATATGATAATCATGGATTGAAATGTATTCCATTTTTTTTTAATTTAATGGTTATAATTATAGTAAAATAAAAATTCATTTATTTAATTATATACAATAGAAGATCAAGAGTTTATTTTATTTTGTAAAATTTGATTTATTTAAATATTATATCTATTAAAATCATATCTCATGTGGATAAATAGGAATCTTGATTCATTAATATTATTTTACTATTTAGTTTGTATTTTCACTCATAGGCAGGAGTTTATTTATTAAGCTTAAAGTATTTATTTTGATTATTATCTGATTTTGATGTCTAGAGTAAACAAAGTGCTGGTACAGACAAGATTGCAACGATCTATCTAAATATTTGGACTTGCGGTAATATTTAGGGGGAATTACTAATTGGGAAAATAGAATATAAGTTATTTGAGTTTACTGCTATAGCAACAAATATTTATTAAGGAAATGAAAAAATTATAATTAATAAAAAGAAATGATAATTATCTTTTTGTCTTTAAGTTTTACCTGTTACCGGCGGAAAATATTTTTTGCATTGTTGTAAGTTAGTTTGGTTTGATAAAGGCAATTTTTTTTTTTTTATTGGAGTCTCGTTGGTAAAGTTTCTCTTTTGGAGGATTTATTTTTGCTAGAATTTATATGATTTAGGTTGTTTTTAATTAAAGTGAATTTTTGTTGGTTTTTGTTTAGAATTCATCAAGTTTTAAAAGTTTATTTTGAATTAGCTTCTTTTGTTTGGTAAGTCCTTAAAATATTTATGATTTTTTTTTTATCATTTTGATTAATATTAATAATATTTGGTGCCCTAAACAAAAATGTTATATATTTTTTCAATAAAAAAAGTCTTAATTTTTTCAACCTTTCTTATGAATTGTTGATTAGAACAAATCTTGACTTGTTGAGGTCGATTTTTAACCTTAGATAACTAGATCCAAACATGTTGTGGTCGTTTTCTTTTCTAATAGCTTGATAAAATTACCATTTCCTTCTAAATTATTATTATTTTTTCTTAATATAGCAAATTGAAAAAGTTTTAGGTTATCGGTTCATTACCCTTATGAGTGCAAACAATTATTGCGCCCGACAACCTCCATATTCCTGCTGACATAAAAATTGTTGTCTGCTTTAGTTGTTTTAACAAGGCCAAAGTAGAAATGTATTGTAGGAAACCTGAAGAGATTGACTTGTGCCTAGACAATTGAAACCAAAAAGAAAAAGAAAAAAAATGCAATCTAATATATAGAAACTTTATATAATTTTTTGGAAAGAACTTCCTATTTTGGGGGAGAGCAGTAAATAAGGGTTGAGATTGTTTTTCATTCAACAGGGAAGGTTGTGATTCCAGACAGAAAGGCGGCAACATATCTGTCTATGGTTGGATTTTGTGACACGAGAATGGACCTAGACAGTAACATTAAATATGGAAATGCCATGTACTATCCAGCACTGTCGATGATGGCTAGTAAAGCAGTTTATAATAATGCTGCTTATACAGAAACCATTGTAAAGGGTCATTGGCAGGTACAAAAATGACGTTTTTTTAAAAATTTTTTTTAAGATAAAGCATTTTAAAAATGTTTTCATGATTTTGTTTAGATAAATGAACTTACATAGTTTGCTATATCTACTTTGTATGCAGATGGAGCACTTGGGATTTGAAGATTATTGGAACGGTACCCAACATCTTGATTTTCAGGAAAACAATTACTGCTAATATATTTAAGAATATTTTTTTTCACTTTGGCCAATAGTATTGGGCAGTAATTAAAATTTTCCTATCTTTGTACATGCAATATTAAATGACTAATTAGTTGATTTAATTAGTTAATTTTTACTTTGGCAGATTTCCTACTAACAATCGATACACAAGCCTTCTTGTTTCGAGATAAAAGTGATGACCGTGACACTATTGTTGTCTGCTTTAGAGGAACTGAGCCGTTTAACGCAGATGATTGGTGTTCGGACGTCGATATCTCTTGGTACGAATTCCCTAACATTGGAAAGATTCATAGTGGATTCTTGAAAGCCTTAGGCATGCAGAAAATTGTAGGTTGGCCAAATGTAGTTGTGCCAGATCTAACCCGCAAAGCACCATTAGCTTACTACGACATAAGGGATAAGTTGAGAGACCTTTTGACCAAAAATCCTCAAGCAAAATTTATAGTAACGGGCCACAGTTTGGGTGGTGCCCTAGCAGTTCTGTTCCCAGCAATTGTGTTTTACCATAACGACACGTTGCTGCTGGAGAGAATGGAAGGAGTTTACACTTTTGGGCAACCTAGAGTCGGAGATGAGATGTTTGGGAATTACATGGAGAAGAATTTGAACAAGAATGGAATTGAATATTACAGATATGTTTACTGTAATGATATTGTTCCGAGGGTTCCATCTGATAACAATAGTCTTTTGTTCAAGCACTTTGGCTCCTGCGTCTACTACAACAGCAAAAAGGTAAGCAATGATTTTTTTTTTTTAAGTTATTAAAAATTAAATTTTAATCACTGAAATTAAAAATAGAATATTATATCAAGAAATTACATGATTGTTGACAAGCAATGATCATCTCTTCAAGAATTAACTTTCTTTAGATAAAAAGAAAAAATTAAGAAAGTAAAAGAAAAATCAAAAGATTTCTGAACCATCATATTTTTGGAGTGTAGCTTTGCTATATTCATCTGAAGATATTGTCTGGGTTTTGTCATTCAATGAACATGTGCCTACACAGAGACAAATAATTCTATGTCTGACAATTTAGAAATTTAACAGCTCATATCTGCAATTATTTTATCTCTGCCACATATAAATAATCGATTCGGAAATTCCATAATTAATATTAGTTGTTTACAGATCAAATTTATGATATATCACTGTCATATAGTTGAAAACGTAAATGCTCCCCTCTTCCCGAAATTAATTTCCCCAGAGACGACAATTATTCAATATTCTCTTTAGATAGGAACAATGCTTTTATTGTGTTGTAACTATATGTACTAATTGTTTCTTAACCTACGAACAATCTTTGGAACTTTGAATGAAGATTGTTGACGAAGTACCATACAAGAACTACTTCTCAATTTGGGCCTTTTTCCCCATGCTAAAAAATGCTATATATGAGGTGATAAGAAGTTTCACTATAGCCAAGCAGAGGGGACCAGATTACAAAGAAGGGTGGGTGATGTTTGGTGTGAGACTATTTGGATTGGTGATCCCTGGTATACCAGCTCATTGCCCCCAGGATTATGTTAACTCCACCCGTCTAGGAGCCCCAGATGATGTTCTATTTCTTCCCTGCCACGAGAAAAAAACCAGTCACGAACTGCGCCTGCTAGTCCTGAATTAACAAGTCTTGTGGCCTGTCCTTCAATAAAATATTTAGGCCTACCAGACTTGGGATTTGGGAGTTGATTTGCATTATGGAGATTTCAATAAAAATAACTGGAAGGTATACGCTTGCCACCAGTAGCACCTTTGTAACTAAATTAATGTTGTCGCTGTTAAAGCTTTTCAAGTTATATGTGTTTGGATCGATGTTTGTGATAATAATATAAAATGTTTTCATTCGCTTTCACAACATGGAAGATTGAAGTTTGAGCTTCAAGACTGTTGCTTCCAGGAGTAAAGTTGAATGGCCAATCAATCAGATCCAGCTTTTGCTTAATAAACGATCGATCATAATTCAAAACCATGGCTTCATTAACAATATATCAACACAAAGTACATTTTTATGTTTCGATTAAATTTACGTATAATTTATATTAAAATTTTAAATCGTATTATTTTTTATATTTAATATTTAAAATTATCGCATCTCATTTTAAATTTATTAAATCTTATATCGTAAGAATAATTTTATAAATCTTCCTAAATATTTATTGTTTCTTTCCAATCCAATCCGGTAGTTTATTAGATCCATTCAAAGTGGTACACCAATGCCGGAGAAGATATGGTTATAATTACCCATATCAAGAAATCGTGTTCCTAGCCGAATATCAAGCTGATTCTCTCGGTTTTTTTATTGTTAGCTTATTCAATTTTTAAAACATAATTAATTTTTTTGGTTACAAAATCAATGTTCATAAGAAGTTCATTTACGGTTTTACCAACGGCATACCCTTTTTTTTTCTAATGATAATATAAGGTCCATATATTATAGGCCAGCTAAGAGTAAAAGGAAAGTTCATTCAATAATGGTTTAGATTTAATTGCTTCATTAAATTTCTTCGACGGCTCATAATGGAGATATTTTAGTACACACTGGGATTGTATTTTATAATTATTTTCTGCCAACATTTTGCCTGATTTGTTGGCTTATTTATTTGCTTGAAGCCACATTCTGTATCAAAATTATTACTCTCTTAGATTATCAATATTGGTGGCTGGACCAGCACATGCATGCTTCCCTAGTTAACAATTCACGTCCATGTCGTCTTTATTATTATTATTATTATTATTATTATTATTATCTTTTTATTATTATTATTATTATTTTGATAAAAGGTAATAGTTGAAAATTGAACAGAATAATTAATTAAAGGATTTAAATAATTAGTGTCATTTGCATAAAAAAAAATTAACGATCTCCTATGATTAGGGATGACGAACTAACCCGTCCCGACGGGTTTCGGCCCGACCCGATCCCACGGGATCGATTTTTTTTTTTTAAATTCGGATATCGAGTCGAGGTCGAGTCGGATAAAATAAAGAAACAATCGGGATCGAGTCGGGGTCGGGTTTGCTTAAAACCCGATCCAACTCGATATTATATAAAACATTATTTTTTAATTAATTATTAAATTTTTTATTATATATATATTTATATAATGATATTTTTAAATATTTATATTTAAAAAATAATATTTTATATTTTAAAAAATAATATTTTATTAATTTCGGATCGAATCGGATCGGATACGATTTACATGATGTCGGGTTCGGATATACAAAATCAAAAAAATTTTCAAATTAAATCAAATTCAAATTTAATAAAAATTAAATCAGATCGAGTTCAAAACGAGCAAAACTTATCTCGAAGCCGAACAAAATCTATCTCGAAGTCGATCCGATGTCAACATTACCTATGATCAGCGCAAGCAATCAAATCTCACGTGCATATGTCAGGGCCGAGGGTTAAGCCTAGCACCCGTGCAGCTTTAAGTTCCCGAATCGTGACAGATACACGTTTAATTTTCGCTTTTCAAGGCACTCCGCAAAATTCAATAGGCAATGGAATCAGCCAAAAAAAAAAATCATAACTAATTACACTAGTGGTTTAAAGATAAATGGAGCCTACTTGTCTCTAATATTGATTGTTATTAATTTATTATGCAGAATTAATATAGAGTTATCTATCTTAAGAGTCACCCTAAATTTTATATAGTTCATGTGTTTTATTTTTCTTTCTATTTGTTTATTATGGTTGATTTGAAAGTAGGATTAGGATTTTAATCCTAACATATAAATTGTCTCTTTCAAAAGTTATCTTGTCCACGTGTCTTTTTATTTTCTTTCATTCATCATTTTGCCCATATTTTCCTGTATTTTCCATTTAAAAAAAAAAAAAAGTTCTTTGAGAAAACGACAAAGGTGCTGAAAATTATGAATCTAAACAATTTTATGATTCATTGATTATAAAGCCTCGATACATCCATGTCTCGCTTCTGACGCATAATGTTAACGGTTGTTTTATAATAATAATAATAATAATAACAATCCTCTAATTTTTTATTTTTTTATTTTGATCACCAATTGTAAAAGTTTATTATTTTATCACTAATATTTATAAATTATTGTTTGTCACTCAATCATTAGATAATAAAGATATTGTTACATCATTTATCAAATATTTTGATCTCCATAATCAATATCTCATTATTGATGTTGTTTTATAACGATTTGATCACCAACATTTATAAAATTTAATATAATAAATTAATTTATTATTTTATTACTTAAATTAAAATATTTTGAGATTATACTTAGATAAATCCATGAATTATATAAAAATAAAAACAACCATTCGATATTTGTATAAAATTAAAGCTATTAATTTTTATTTTATTGTAATTATACCTTTTGAATTTAAAAAATTGATGAATAAATCCAGTTGTGACAACCCCATTTCTTATCCTTTCTTCTTCCCCAAAAAAGAAACAGTAAAAATAACCCTGTTGGCTTGTTCGTTATAAACATATAACACCTTTGGAGTAAAATGTTCTGACAGGATCAATATGCCAAATTTAAAAAAAAAAAGTTATATCATATAGAGTTTTTAAATCCCAATTTTTTTAATCAAGAATGGATTTTCAGTTATGTGAAAGATATCAATATAGTAATCTCATCCTTGAATTAACAAAGTCCAAAAGATACAAATCATATAATTTATTGATAGATAAATATATAAAATATTAAAATTTTAATTTTATTGATTAAAATTTAAATTTTAATTATCTGAAATATATAAAAAAAATCAGAAAAAATAGAGCATAAATAAAATCCTTGTACAGCTAAGCATGAAAAGATCTAAACTATCCACGTCCATTTTTGCAAGAAAATCTGCAAAAAACAATTTGTTTTCCTGTATGTGAATAAAATCATTCAATCCGATTATAACATCTCTGACCATATCAATCTCTTTGAAGATCTTCAAATCCTTCCAAGATTGATATTCCCTGTTAAACACCGAATAATCAGACAGCCACCTTTGAATCAGACGATCGATGAAATAATAATAATAATAAAACAAAATTGATATGTTAATGAATGCAACTCACACTGTCCCAGGATAATATTTTTTAATGTTTTAGTTCACTTGATGATTACATGAGTGTCTGTCCTTCCAACAACCCACTTGTTCGAATTGTTTATTTACGTAAACATTGACAAGATCTTACACTTTTATTTCAACAACTGGTAGGTTTTGCTAAAACCGAAGGCAAGTTGAACTTTTATCGATTTTGACGCTTTATATATACTTTCATAAAAGAGTGGTTAAAGATTGCGATTTTTTTATATATAATAAATGTTCTTGAATTTATATTTGATTTACGTAAGAAATTAATTTTAAATATATTTTTAGAATTTAATGTATTTATTTTTTAAAATTTTAAAATTATTTTTATAAAATTGATATGAAACTCAATAATTTTTTACTTTGTGAGGTAATGTTAAGTAGTTTATTAACATAAAAACATGGTGAAAAGCTATTAGAAACAGATCATTAATGTTCGGAATGAACTTGAGAATATATAAGGAATTTCTTGTAATTTCTGAGGTCTACGATGGAATCCACGATGATCACACATTCATTGATTCAGACGTTTTAATGGTTTCTTCATGTTTTACTGCTCCAGAGAAAAACTCCAAGAGAAGAAATGGGTGAAAAAACCCAATTTGTTTCTATCTCCAATAGTTTTCTGTCTATAAAAATATCACAATCCAGAAGTATTGTTTTGCTCTAAAGATCATGGAAGCCATGGCCGGCTACAAGGGCTTCTGTAGCATGCATATCTCTTTGTTACTCTCGGTTTAGTCGCCATGGATGGCAACTTTCCCGTAATTATAAAATCTTCCGCCAACGAAATTTCACATATTAAAGTACATTAAAAAATAATATAATAAAAAATACACGCAATATTATTTTAATTATTTTTGTAGAATTTAAAAATTTTACGAACGTAAGACAAAATAATAATAATAATAACATAATATAATTGATATGTTAAGCATGCAATTCACATGTTCACAGTAATATTTTTCAATGTTTGCGTTCCCTTCATCACTGGCTTGTGTTAATAAAGTCATTGAGATCTGACACTATTTCTGAATGACAGGTGGATTTTGCTAAAACCGAAGGCAAGTTGACCTCTTTTTTGGGTGCATAAGGCAAGTTGAACTTTTATTGATATTCATGCTTTACATGTGTAATATATAAAATATATTTTTTTAATTTTTGAGTTAATATTAGTTTATTAACTTTGGAATATAAGAAACTTATTAAAATTTTTGAGTTCTAAAATCCGCGTTGAGCACGCATTTACTGATTCAGACGTTTTAATGGCGTTCGTGCTTTGCTTTACTCCTCCAAATAAGAAATCCAAGGAAAGATCGAAGCGAGTGTATGCTGATCGGACTGGTGCCTAGTGGTCAAAAATTTGTAAATAATGGAATATTCGTTTAAGATTAATATTTATTATTGACTGATGATGCTTTTTGTAAAATCAATATTACTTGAAGGGGAAAGGGAAAATTCAATTAAATTGAGTAATGTTATTAGTCTTTTTTAACAAAAAAATTACAGTTTAAATATAAAGAAGAAGAATATAAATATTGATATTTAAATTTTAAATTTATCAAATATTAATGTTTAAAAATAAAATTTTATATTTAATATATTATATGTATATAAAATTTATTTATTATTAATGAATAAGATAATAAAATTTATATATTATCTGTATATAAAAAATAATATTTTTTAAAAATTTTATTTATTAATGAAGTGATATGATATGATTTATCTCATTAATAAAATAAAATCATCTGATTTATTAATAATATATAAAATATATACACACCGATAATATATCAAATATATATTTTAAAAATAAATTATATGAAGTAATTGAATTAATCTTTTTTTTTATTGATAAGATTCTCATAAAAAAATTTGAAAAATAAAATTGAATGCAAAATACAAGGAGTGCATCTTTAAACACCCGAAAAAAGGATTAAGTTCTAATAAAACTAAAAAGTACACGTGTATTAAAGAAACATGTATAAAAAATTATGAATGCTATAATTAATTCAATCAACCAATGAAGTAATTGCTAGCTAATATCCTTCCTCACTCTCACACTCGGTTTCTAACTCCACTATTTTCCTGTCTATATATTTGGCATCAAAGCAGAGTAGCAGGCATCCCAAACATCATTCAAAACCCAGAAGTATTGTTTTTCTTTGTAGATATCATGGAAGCCAAGGCGGGCAACAAGGGCTTCTGTAGCAATTATTTGCTGTTGAACCCTGAGCAAGCCACTTTCAAGGATATTTTTCGTGTCTTGTTTTCTAGTAATTTAAAGAAGAGAAATTTTATCGACAGCTCTCAAGAAAGAATGGAAAGTTTCGGGTATAGACTTCTTATATTCCTCTCCGCGCTGTCACAAAAAATTCTGCTAACGATATCGACGCCAATGGCAATGTTAGGGTCAACGTTAGAGGACTTGCTCAACTTTCTGCCATGTAATGGTGGCTTTTTTGGTCTCCTGAAAAATATCTTGCGAGGTATATTTACGTCTAGATCTTTGTTTTCTTATACACAATGAGTTTATGCACAAGAAAATTTAACTTGGGAGGGAGAAAACGAGAAAAAAATGGAAAGAGAGGACCAACTAAATTTAACAAAGTCACCGATTCAGTTCGATCTTTGAAGATCAATATAGCTATGAATAATCAGATTGTTGTATGTTCAACAGGGAAGAATGTGATTCCAGACAGGGAGGCGGCAAACTATCTTTCTTTTGTTGGATATGTGGACACGAGAATGGAGCTAGACAGAAACATTAAATATGGAGATGGCATGTACTATCCAGCACTTTCGATGATGGCTTGTAAAGCTGTTTATAACAATGCTGCTTATACCGAAGCCTTAGTAGATGGTCATTGGAAGGTACGACAATGAAGGTTTTTTCTTTTTAAAGAGCAAACATTTCAAAAAAAAGTTTCATGATTTTGTATAGAATTATATATATTTTGATTAAAGTAATTAGATTACTTGAATATAATTGAACTTGACATAGTTTTCTGTCTTTGTCTGCAGATGGAGCACTTGGGATTTAAAGATTATTGGAATGGTACCCAACCTCTTGATTTTCAGGATAAATAATTACTGCTAATATATTTAAGGAAGTTTTTTCATTTAATGGATTAACTTATCAAATTAAAAAATACATTAATTACAATTTTCTTTTTATAAATATCACTTTAGCCGATATTATTGGACATTAATTAATGTTTTCCTGTCTTTATGTATGCAATATTAAATGACTTATTAATTGATTTAATTAGTTAATTTATACTTTGGCAGATTTCCTACGAAAGACCAATACACAGGCCTTCTTGTTTCGAGATAAAAGTGATGACCATGACACTATTGTTATTTGCTTTAGAGGGACTGAACCGTTTAATGCAGATGATTGGTGTTCGGACATTGATCTCTCCTGGTACGAATTCCCCAACATTGGAAAGATTCATAGTGGTTTCATGAAAGCATTAGGCATGCAGAAAACAGACGGTTGGCCTGAGCAAGTCGTGCCAGATCAGAGCCGCGGAGCACCATTAGCTTACTACGACATAAGGGATAGGTTGAAAGACCTTTTGAGCAAAAATCCTGAAGCAAAATTTATAGTGACAGGCCACAGTTTGGGTGGTGCGCTAGCAATTCTGTTCCCAGCAATTTTGTTTTCCCATGACGACAAATTGCTGCTGGAGAGAATGGAAGGAGTGTACACTTTTGGGCAACCGAGAGTAGGAGATGGGAAGTTTGGAAATTACATGGAGAAGAATTTGAACAAGAATGGAATTCACTATTACAGATTTGTTTACTGTGATGATGTTGTTCCAAGGATTCCCTTTGATACCAAACGTCTTTTGTTCAAGCACTTTGGTACTTGCGTCTACTACAACTGCAGCTATGAAGCAAAGGTAAGCAATGATTTCTTTTTGGGTTTTCTTAAATTGTTAAAGATTAAATTTTGGTCACCGAATAAAATTTTGAATACAGATTGTTAAGGAAGAACCGTACAAGAACTACTTCTCAATTTGGGCCTTTTTCCCCATGCTAAAAAGTGCTATATATGAGGTGATAAGAAGCTTCACTATAGAGAAGCAGAGGGGACCAGAATACAAAGAAGGGTGGTTGCTTTTTTGTGTCAGAGTACTTGGATTGGTCGTCCCTGGTCTACCAGCTCATTGTCCGCAGGATTATGTAAACTCTACCCGTCTTGGGTCCCCAGTTGATGTTTTATTTATTCCCCAGAAACCAGTCATGAAGTCTGCCAGCTAGTCCTGATCTAACGATCCTTGCAATTTGGAGTTTTCAGTAAAAATAATTGGAATGTATACGTTTGCCAGCAGTAGCACCTTTGTAACAAAATTAATGTTTTATCCCTGCTAAAGATTTTCAAGTTATATGCCTTCTGATCGATGTTTTTGATAATAAAGTAGAAATTAATGCCATGTGAAGAAGATCAAGCTGATTCTATATGGCAGTGGCACTGACATTTAGTCAATGATTCAATCTGTCATGAGATCATGTTCCTCGTGGAATATCAGGCTGATTCTCTCGGATTTTTTTTTTATTGCTAGCTTATTCAATTTTTAAAACGATTAACTTTTTTTGGGTACAAAATCAATGTTCATTTAGAAGTTCACTCACGGTTTACCAGCGGCATACCCTTTTTTTTTTTGGGTGATAATAGAAGTTTCACATATTATAGGCCAGCAAGAGAAAAAGGAAAGTTCATTCTGCTCGTTTATATTTAATTGCTTCATTAATTTTCTTCGCTGGATCATAATGAAGATATTTTTAGTACACACTAGGATTGTACTTTATAATTATTTATGTAGTGATAGAAAAGCGAGTAACAAAAGATCAATATTTTCTATCAACATTTTATCAGATTTCAAAGGGAGAAGCTATTGCAAATATGGAGTCTTGCTTCCAGGTTTCTGGCGCAAACTAGCATGGAACATAAGAGGTACAAGCTTTTCTATTGCAGCAGTCTGGGAAAAGCTACGTGCTAAGCAGGCAAGGCTCTTTTGGTGCCAACTACATATGATTCCCAAGTGTGCTATTATAGCTTGGATGGCTGTCCTGGACAGACTTCCTACTAAGGATAGGCTGAGTTCATGGAGATCGACTCATTATAGATGGAAGCTGTGTGTTGTGTAAGCGGGAGGCAGAAAGTAGAAACCATATTTTCTTCAGCTGCGACTATTACAGGGATATTTGAAAGCAAGTCTTGAGATTTTCCAGTCTGCACATGGAGGTTTCTGACTGGGAAGAAGAGTTGCAATGGGCAATCCGGAGGCTTCGAGGGAAGGCCTTGATCTCTATTCTATTGAGGCTAGCACCTGATCTAGAAAGAAAGATATAACAGGCAGTTTCAAAATGAAAAGAAAACTGGAAAGCAGATTCTGAGGCTAAGGACACTCTGCCAATTTAGACTTGAGAGATGGGAACTAAAACACTGTGCCAATTTAGACTCGAGAGATGGGAACTAAGTATAGACATGTTTGTAAAATAAGTAGCGATTGTGTAAGATCTGTGTAGCTTGATTTGTTTGTACAGTCCATTTGTAGCAGCGAATTCAACAATTAACTGCTTCTTGGATAATAAAGTACAATCTATCAAAAAAAAAAAACATTTTACAGATTTATCGACTTATTTAGGTGCCCGAAGCCAGGTTTTCTATCAAAATTATTACTTTCTCTTAATCACCAATATCGTTAATACATTTTATCTTGGTGGCTGCGCCCGCACATGCATGCTTACCTAGTTGGGTTTCTTATTCCCAAAAAAGAACAGTAAAAAATAACCATGTTAGCTTCTTAGTTGTTAATCCCTTAATAGGACGTGAAAATACTGATAAAATATGTTAGGCATGGTAGGAATTGGAAGTTAATTTTGCTTTTAATGAATTTTCAAGAGAAATATAATTGTGGGAAATGGGATTTGCCTTTGTTACTCTCGGTTTAGCGCCATTCTGTTAGATAACTTTCTCGTGTTATTAAAAATCTTCAGCTTAAAAGAAAATATCGACTTTTAAAAAATTTTTTTAAAAAAAATAATTATGAGATAATTTTAAGTAATAAGGAAGTAATCAATTATTAAATTAGAAAATATGTGTATAATTAATCATAATAAATTATAATTCTTAATATCTCATTATTTTCATATATTATCTATATAACTTATGTAAATAAAAGTTCTATTTATTCTTTCATATAAGTTGAGCATTAATAATGTAGTCCTTTGAGCCTTTTCTTCCGTAAATATAAGTCTCCATGATTAAATCATACACACACACACACATATATATATATATATATTGATTTTACCTTCTTATTTTTTCATTTATACAAACATTATTATTTAAAACTTAACATGATATTAGAGTTATAAACTCCAATGAGCAAAATAACTAGGTTTTTTATATAATGATTGATGCTGATATACGAACACCTAACTTAAGAAGCTCGTTATCCTTTACATCTATAATCCTTAATCCTCATGGCTTTTAGTGTCTTTTTCATCTCTATCATATTTCAAGCATTTCAATGATCTTTTTCTTTTTTTTTGTTGGCATGCATATTGTATTTTTCAATATCATTAATAGATTTCATTTTTTCACATTCTGAGCTTTTAATTCCTAACCTTTATTCAGCTTTGTATATTTATTTTATAAGTATAATTTTAAATTTCAAGAATCATATGTGACTATTAGAATAACAATAATTATATTTATATACCTATTTGAGCAGTCATAACTGATAAGTGGAAATAATACCAATTCCTGAAAAGAAACTAGGTTTTCCTCTTTACTCTTCTTTTACTGTTGGCTTTCACTAGATAGATATCGTTGATTATAAGTGAAAAGGAAACTTTAGCCAATTTATATTAAAACCCTAGAAACTTATCTATCAAAGGTTTATTGGGCCAAAAGCTTACATAATTGCCAAACCATATTGACACAAGATGTACAAAACCCATATGTCGATGATCACTTTAAATTATTTGAGCTTTCATGCTTATCTCGTATTATGACTAAATTTATCAGTCTATTTTATTAAACATTAAAATCACCAATTAATAGTATCCTACTTACTGAAAAATTATAACATTCTTTCACTTGGGCAATATTAATTAGGTTGTTTGATTTAAGAAAATATAATTTAAAAAACAAAACTCTAGGCTGATTAACTTTACTATGATATGACCACAATTTTAAAAGTAATTTAACTCTTTTGACAACATCTTAATGAACTTGTCCAATAAAACCATCTAGTATCGAATCATGGTAGCCTTATTGACATAAGACCAATCCATAGTTATAAGTACTAGAGACTCTATCAACAATGGATTTCAGTGTGGTTGTATAGTAAGAAAATAACACCTAAATATGATTTCAATGTGTTATTTTCATTGTCAGTCATATTGCCAATTTCTCTAAACTTGCTGAGAAATCTTCATGGCATCTAAATGTGCCTGTATATCTTTTCATTATTCTTAAAATCACTTATTGATATCATTTATGAGACATACCTAAATGACATTAAAGTCGTATTTTAGATAGATACCAAGTCTTAAGATTTTGTAATAGGACATGTCAATATAATATGTGTACATGTAATAATAAACTTATATACAAATAACAACTATGATGTATAGATAAAACAAATGTGTCCACTTAACTTGATGGTACCTTATGGACTTATTCATTTCAAACTATATCTTATAAGTAATTAGCAATTGCATGCGATGTATTTAATAAAGTAAAGAAACTAAAAACAATAACTGTTTCAAAAGCAAACTTACAATGCATTATTACTATACTAAACCCAATACCTTAATATTTTCTATTTTCCATACCCATAGATATTTATAAAATGAGTTTAGTAATACCATAACCCTTATACAAAGAAAATATATAATCATTTTATCAAATCACAATGACTCTCACTAATCCAGTGAATCTTAAACATGCTCCAATCAAAGTTTAAATAATAATAAGAAACATTTCAATAAATGAAGTTATAATAAAATTATGTATTGTCTGCCTCTATGCCAAATATGATAACCACTATTGTTTTTAGACTTTCATGATATCACATTAATAAACTAATTACAAATTACTAACGTATTATAAACAAATTTTCATATTCATATGTTCATACAACATAAAATTCTTAACATTTTAACATGAGATCAGTTCTAATAAATTTGAAATTCATTGAATTACCAATATTTTATATCTAAAATATGCTTAAACTAATAGCCTATTAACTCTTTCTGACCTTAACACATATGATATCTCCAAAATAATAACTTTATGGCATTTATGAGTTCTTACTGCTTTAAAACATATATATGCAAAAGAATTCTCATTGATTTTTACTTCTTTTAAAGGAATAGTTTTGGCAAAAATGTCAAAACCATTGTATTAGTGTTCTTTAAAATAACTCTCAAAATTAGTTTAGATGTAGTTGAAAACAAAGAAAGTAAAATGAGAGAAAATTATAAATTTTTATTCTTTTTCAAAAGTAAATCAATAAAATTGAGAAAGATTATCAATGAAGGAATTGAACTAACAAAACAAAGCAGATAGTTTTGCTTATTTTTACAAAACTTCATTCCTCAAAATTCTTACACGTGTGATAAGTGTAAAATAATATTCTTCTCTTTATGTATGAGTTCCTTAAAAGAAAATATTAAATTTTCTTTAAAACACATTGTCACCAAATGATAACAAATATGCCCTTAAAAATTGATAGCTGCTAGGTTTATAATGGTAACTAAGATAATCAAATTAGTATCTCAACTGAGAGTTAAACAACCTAAACAAACATTTATTAAAATGAACTTATATTTTAACAACTCTCAATTTTAGTTAAGTCAAATTGAGATATCATAACAGGTCTAAATTTTTTTTACGTTGAAGCTAAACATGTTGGCTATTATAAAACACTATACAACAAATGTATATATCCAAATGTAATAAATTAAAGTGACTAAAATTTATACATTTATTATGTTGTATAAAACATCTAAGAACTTATCACTCATGGCATAAATTAACTTGTGATGACTTTTTTCCCAGCATATTGAAATTGAGTGCAAAAGCCAATTAATGATCTGAGTAGATAATACTTTAATCAAGTTAAGAGTTTTACTAGTTTTATCAAAACAATTAAGGTATCATATCATAAATTTAATTTTGGACATTCTTTTAAGAAAAACATTATTCCTTTGTGTTATCACTCCTTAAAATAATGAAAAAATACAAAGACTTTTGAAAAAAAATTCATTTTAGGCAAATAAATTCCTTTGGTCTATGTATATTTTTACTTTATTAAAAATGTTTCACAATTATGTCTAAATTAAAAATATATAATCACTCTATTTAGGCAAGTAATCACATGTAGTAACTTAGAGACAATCCCATAATGACATAAGAAATGTTATAATCATTATAGTTCTTCTAATTTTTTTTATGTCTATTTATATACATGATCATTCCAAGTGAGATACTAATCTAAACATACTTCTATAGATCATAG